TACAGGACTACAGGACACAATATAAAATGTAGCTCTCTCCAAAGTGGCTAGATATGTAGAGAGTATTACCCTAAAGAGCTCTGCAGCGAAGAGAGCAACGCAAACTGGTAGTCGGCGTAACCTTCAGGAAACATGGATTACGCGGTTATTATAATATCTAAAAGGTACTGCGGTGAAGGCTAAGGCCAGCCACGGACACACAACGGTTGTACTGCAGCACACAAGTGAATCATCATCTTACCCACTAAACCGTCCCTCCCCCTCCTCACCCCCATGCCCCCCCCCCCCCGCTTTCCACCTACCCCTACCCCCCCTCCAGGGAGAATAGACGGGCACTTGTATGACAACGTTGAAGAGCGGCGAAGACAAACGCGTGTGATTAGGCACTTCTCTTTCTTTGTCTTCAACAAACAAAAAACAATATCTCATTTTACGCATTATTAATAAGGAACAGCACTGTGCTAACATCGTATCTTGCGCATTCACTGGAGGTGGTTTTGGATACCGGCTTAAAATAAGCTTGTAGCAAGGTGATTCAATTAGCAGTTGAAATCGGATCATGTCCTTAGTCCCTGGAATAGCATGGCCATAAGCCGACACGAACAGATTTTCCGCAATCCACAGAAACACTTATGCTGCTATATTAAGCACATTTCAAAATTAAGCCTTTGACAATATAAATCAACTTCAACGATTCCACAAATATCCTCTCAACTGCCGGCATCAAGGGAAATTAAGCATAGGCTAAAACAATGCAATTCGACAGACAGAACTGCTTACAATTTACTTTCCTCAAATGGATTTTGGAAAAGTACAAAGTCCCTTATCGTTTAACCGCAATGGCACCGAGAAAACAAATACCCAAATTTATCGCAACGCACGCATGTATTAAAAGGAGCAAAAATAAATCTTACGAGCGAGCAAACTTATTTGTCGACATGGGCGGAAACCCCGCCAACAGCTGACCTAAATGACGACCCCCCGCAAGTCGTCAGAATGCACGTCACATGTTATGGCTGGAGCATCGCCGCAGACACGGCCACGTGTTTCTTTATCCATTCCCCTGCGCCCACGTGGACAGCGCAGCGCATGCAAACGACTTCACGGCGGCCGCAGTGGCGGCCGCGGTTTGGTAGCCGGGAAGAAGGCACACAGCCAGGAACGAGCCGTGCCTACGCAGTGGGAAGAGCGGGTGAAGGTGAGCATCCGACACCCCATCCCTCAAATCCGCTGACAACTCATTTATTATTCAGGGCGCACGCACCAAGCTGCCCAATCTGCTGACCTTCCAGCAGTGATGCAATACTTGGGAATTAAATTACCGTGTTTTAGGAAAGGTCATAACTGGGGGGGGGGGGGGGGGGAATCAAAACGAGGGGGTTCCAAAGCTGGAGAGCACCAAAGATTGATGAAGTTTGCGAGCGGTCCCGTACGCGACCAGCACACAGCCCTGCGTGAACGGGGAAACTGCGCGCAGGAGATAAGATGCCGTGTCACTGCACCGTGTAAAATATATATAAAGCGGCAGCCCTGAAATTGCCTGCTCATACCACTACTGGCGGAAAGGTCCCCCACACTCGAAAGAGTTCTGCAGAGTCCCTCTTAGAGAGTATTCTTGGCATGCGCATTCGCTCTGGCCAGATGTCTTGGAAGAGATGGAATACCCACACTTAAACCCGCCACACGCGACCATAAGTGTACCATGCACAGGTGCCTTCATACTTTTTCCGCTTCCACTAAATGATTAGTTTTTTTTTACGCAGGAAAGAGATGCCGTCTTATCTCCATGCGAAAGTCAAGGTACGTGGGCTGCACAGCGGGATCCTGCATCTTGTAAGTTTTAAATAGCGAAGTGAAGACGATTTTCAAAACATGCACGCATTCTCTCGCAGAGCCATTACTCGCTGGGGTCCTTCGCGCGGCGCTGAGTCACGGATTAAACCGGGGAACCTAAACAGCGCAAATGTGTCCCGTGGTATTTATTTTGTACACCGCTCGCAACGGAAGACCCGAAAAAACACGTTAACACGTGCACAGTGCTCGCCCACACTAATATAAAAACAGCCGCTATCTGCCTCTCGCGGATGAAATTGCAGAGATCGCATTTTAATTCAGGGAGGACACGCGCGCGCGCTTGATTAAATGTAACACGACCTTCGCAGGGCTGTTATAAACGGCGACGAGAGTGGGAAGGCCTTCATCAAGCGGCGGATAGACAATTCGCTCATGACAATTGCTGATGACCGAGTAATTGTTGAAAATGCAGAATGTGGGGGGGGGGGAAAGTCTCTACGAATGAAGAGGATATTTGCACAAAATAATATATCGTATGCAACCTACGGCAGGTGAAGGTGCTCAATATTGACAAGTCTGCTTGTTACCAGGTGGACAGTGTTTTTAGTGTTCAAATGCATCGCTTAATTATTTTCTGTTTAATTTTCGATTTAAAGCTTTCGTGACTGCAGGGATTCATCTTCTTGGTTCTTTCGGTAAAGTCTTTCAGACAGACCTGTTCTTCACCTGAGGACGGCTGCTTGCGTTGTGGCCGAAACGTCGTGAGAATTATTTTATTATGTTTTATTTTTATTATTTCCCTTCTACGTGACTTTACCGAAAGAACCAAGAAGATATTTTCTGTTTGTCTCACTTGTGCCGTGTTGCTACAGACGGAATTTGACAAGTAATGGATGAACCGAGCCAATTCATGCCCTTCCTCGACTAAAATTAAACTATTGGGAGTAAAGATAGCCCTATTTTTGCCACAACCCAACACGAACAAGCGATTTAAAATGTCCCAAACACCCGGCGACACAGCCTTTCGTAATTATTCACCCCAAATAAGTACAGCTTCGTTTGAAAGCCACTCTGTTGCCAACTAGATTCTCATTTTCAACAATCAAAAAAGCTGTGATATATTTTATTTAATAGCTCAAAGGCTTTATTAAATTTTCATATATTGTTTTTTTTCAAAGACATCGTAGTCTTCCAGCGTGGTAGATAATTAAAAGGCTGCTTATATAACACGTCGATCCCCATTGTGAAGATAACAGCTACACAGCGGATGAACACTGGCATTTCACCTCCATCACCAACAAAAACTTAATTTCGCACTCAAACAGCTTGAAGCAACGGCATGTTTGATTTTTACGTAAACCACGGGCTATGTGAAGAAGAATCCGCAAATGTAATAATTACATGGATTTTTTTTTATCACAAAGAGAGCATCACAAAAAAAAATACACGTTACTTTACGGACAGAGGGCGCAAACCCACAATTTCTTACTCGTGGCGCTGCTGGTGGGAAAAGGTTCCACAAGAGGAAGCAATCGAAACGTCGTAGTATGCTATTATTTAATTTATTATTTTATCTTTATACGTGACTTTACCGAAAGAACCAAAGAATAAGCTCTACAGAGCCGCTCAAGTGAGCCCTGTATGACACCACACACGCGACCTGGCTGCCTGCTGATCGACCGGCTGTGGTAGAGACATTTATACCGCCTGCACAGTGAACAAAGGGGATTTAAAGAAACCTGCACCCATTGTTTCAACTGCCACGCCCAGGGTTGACCTCTGGAACTGAAAGTTCATTCTGCTAGCCCTTACACCACGGCAACATCCTGGTCCTTATAATGTTGCCAATTTCACGGAAGGTTAATCAAACACACCCTGCGAGCAGCCGCCTTTGCTAAATAATTACTGTTAATGTTTTTTTTACCCATTCCTTTACCCTCCCAAAACATAATGAAATTACTTTAATAGAATAATTAACGGGCACATTTCGCACCTGTACCTCCGGTGACACCGTTGCCTCTCGCCGAGAGGTCCCATCTAAGTTTTTCGTTCAACGTGACCCTCGTGTTACGGTATGAAAGGCGCATAAAGGTCGTATTATTTTCGAACAATGCAAACCTTATTGATGATGGCGTTTTGCACAAGAATGCGAGTTCTAAGCACGGACAATTGCAGGCAATGTGTAAACTCCCGGGCTTGCAGGGAGCGAGCGTGCGTGTAAGTCAGTGAGCAAACATTAACGAGCCCCATTCGTCTTATCTGTTCCCTCTCATCATATCGGAAACAGCAGGGGGGGGAAAAAACCAGGCAAATTTAATCAAAGGCCTGTAATGAATTGTACGCAATGCCTGTCAAATCCGTCTACGTTTGGTCGTCATAGTCATCTGACGCGGCTGTGTGAAAAACTGTTTATGTAAAGCTATACCCCTGCAAATGTAGGTAATTTGGTTAGTTCTTGCCTGATATAACTGTATCTTTACCATTGTTAGGTGGGTAATTACACTGGGCGGAGGATGATTTAGTGTCGTTAGCCTAATTACCTGCTGCAATTCAAGAGAAAGGGAGGACTGTTGCGATCAATAGCGCACTCACTCTATCATTTCCACTGAAACGCATGAGAGTTTTGAATTGGTCGTCACAACGCGCCGGTTTATTTGCAGCTCCGCTTCGGAGAATTGGTGTGGAGTAAACGCAGAGCCTCACTTTCATGGATTATTAATGCGCACTATTTCCAGTCTTACATAAAACCAGCGTATATTGAAATAAGAGTAACGGTGGGGTGGGGGGAAGTATTCTTTTGATTTATACTGCTACGTAGGTTTTCACGGTCGTGCTGCACAGCTATCCGATGTTTCTTCGGTGTTGTTCAGCATGCTATCTGACGTTTCAGTTCCTGAAGCAGCTGCCAGCATTTTTAACGAAACGTCGGACAGCATGCGAGGCTTGTGTTCGGCACAAAGTAACGGGGGTTTAAAGTGCACCGTTGTGCCACATGTATCACACCCAGGGCCTGTTTCATTTTTGGTGAAGAGGCAGCTTCTGCCATTAGATTTTTTTTTTTTTACAAAATCCTAACTTTTATTTTCTGCCGATTTGGCTGTTTTTACACCGGGGGGGCAGGCATAATACAAATCAATGGGTCTGCTTTTCCACCAACACATGAATCACGACTCAAGCGTTCAGCGGTCATGCACAGTTCACCGCAATTACCCGACTGGCCACCGCAAATTGTCCCATTGATGGACTGGAAGGCGCAGCTGGCGAGATACACCCACCTGGATCTCACGGGTTCCCGTGAACATCTCCCGGAGGCTGGAGAAAACCAGTTTGGTCAGATAGGCCGAGGCGTCCACACGTGCTCCTAGAGGGGGGCGGGGGGTGAGAGGGGGGGGGTTCACGTTTGTTTGGGGTGAGGTCAGCGAGGCAGCTGGGAGTAGACAAGAGAGAAAGACGGTGCAGCTACACCATCAATCACAGAGCCACTCTCATTATACCTGCAGCCATATACATGCTATTGCTTTCTATCTATAGTCCAACGTTCTGGCTATGAGCTTGGCAGGCCGGTCGTTCCTTGCAACAGGCAATGTAGCGACACTCAAAAAGGTGACGGGGGCTTTTTTTTTGGTCGTGGCGGGGGAAGGTGGTTTTCTGTACGTTTTTGGCACAACATAAATCTTAGAATGGCATATTTATGGCTACATTTCACACGGAGCAGTGGCCTTTGAAACGAAATATACTTGTACAACAAAAAAAACACGGCAAAAAACTTGCCGTAAAATGTAACTGACAGTACGACGAGAATAGACCTTGCAAGAAATATAACAAATTGAAATGTAATCAATGGCTACTATTTAATTACATTTTTATAATAACCTCCATGTGCATTTTTTATCCAATAATTTTCTGAATTCTGGCCAGACTGTTCCAGAATTACAAAAGGGCAGTGAACTCGTTTTTTTCCCCACCGACTTGATATAAGTCATTATAAAATATCTGCGACCTTTTAGCTTCACGGTTCACCTGCGAAATTCCACTGCATTGCAGTTGCTGGTGGTTTAAACTTCAGTTCATGACTGAGCTTGGACGAATTGCAGGCAATGGCCACTCTGTGAAACTTTAAAAAGCTGACGACAAATGTGTGCACTGGTGTGTGTACTTCACCCGCCTTCCCACTACGATTTGCATACTAAGAACAGCAAGTGCACGAAGCTACGATTTTTGCAATCATCTCCCAAGAGTAATTTTGTCTCACGAAGAGAGCGGCAAATGCATCCCAGGTTTTATTAGCTGGCATGTCTCCGAAGTTTTTGTTGTTGTTGTGTCAAGAGAATGATAGCCACGAACACAATTACTGCAACGCATGCGAAAACCTGCACTAAAATAACACGAAAAATGTTTCACTGAAAAAAAAAAACCTTTCTAAAAAAAACGCTGCATACGGATTACTGTGAAGAAAAACTGATATTGCGTTAAGACCAGACGGTGAAAATTATCGTATCATATTATCATACGCCAGACTTATTGTTTTATTGTCATTTTTTTAAAGGTACAAATATTTCAATTCAAAGCACCTGTATGCTCATTAAAGAATCACGCCTGCACATTAAAATCAAGATGACGGGGATGTTTTTTTTCTCTCCCTCCTTTCAATAAAAGCGTCATAAGGCCGAAGCCACCTGCTTCTGACGGGCGACGGCACACTGGCGTGTGCTTGCACTGATCCCCCTGAGATTCCTGCACGTACGAGGTTCTTTGCGGTCATCTCAGCCACAAGGATTGGCATAATCGCTGTATATTTTTAAAGCATCGTGGCACGTTTCTGCCACGTGGAAAAAAATTGCGAGTGCAATATTCATGTGCCTTTCTTTGTCGAAACAGCACCGGGCCCACACATCGTGCCAAGACAAGCATTATGCAACAACTTTGCCACGACATTCTACGTAATAACGACGCCCAAAATAAAACCGAGCAAATGGCCTCATTTTCATACTGCTGCAAATATGACATAGGACCTCATTTAAGCTACGCTGCACAGGGACAGCATCTGGCGACAAGGATGCTCTGTAGTCATGATGAGATGTTTTTCATAATGAAAATATAATTTGGTCATGACCAGATTTGCAGTCTGGAATTACAAAATGTACTGGAATTACATTGGGTATTTAACCATGGATAAAAATGCCGCTTAATGACAGGAGAATTGTTTCGTATTACTAGACGCTAGTGGTTTATGGTCATCGCTTGCCATACTAAATTGTGCATTGTGTACAAATGTAAATAACTGCTCCATAAAGTATGTCCATGTGTGCACACATACATACATAGGGCACCATACAGGTTTTGTGAAGCGAACAACGTTAAGACACTGACGTGACATTGTAATATTTAGTTCAAGTGGATTGATGTTACTGGTTATTACATTGAAAAATGAAGCAATGAGGGTATGTGCATGCGTGTGTCTGTGCGTCTGTACGTGTGTTTAATATTCGGTTCTGAAACTCTTTTGATCAGCTCTTTTCTGTACAAGTACAGCGATGTGAATTAACATTAAACATCACCCAACAAAGTCAACAAGTCCATTAATCAGTACGAATATTGCCGGTTCAAAACACGGTTAAATATAAATTTGATTTAAAGCTTTCGTGACTGCAGGGATTCATATTCTTGGTTCTTTCGGTAAAGTCACGTAGAAGGGAAATAATAAAATAATAAAAAGATAAAATAATAAAAAGATAAAATAATAAAAAGTTTCTTGCTGTGGATTTCACACCTGATGATGATTGCTTTGTGTTGCAGTCGAAACGTCGTGGGAATTTTTATTATTTTATATTTTTATTATTTATATTCCCTTCTACGTGACTTTACCGAAAAAACCAAGAATACGGTTAAGTATGTTTTTTTGGGGGGGCGGGGGGTTTCTCAAAACTAAATTCCCAGATTCGCCGGCTGACATAGGGACGATGATAATTTACCTCTGGCAGGTATCTGCAACAAGATAACAAAAATGGAAGAGTAATAAAACATTTCCTGAAAGCAAAAAAAATCACACGCAGTGACAAAAGGTGAATCCCAAAGAGCGTAACACACAAACTGCATGGGAATGCACACTGCTGGATATGAGCGTGCGACAAAGGGAACCGCTTGGAATGTTTCTAAAAGCTTCTTTCCGTTATTTTCCCAGCACAATAACGCTTGAGGAAGCAACGTTTAGATTTCCTATGCCAGCAATTTCATTAATCGGCGCATCCACTTGATTTTTTTAAATATCGAGGACGCTGGACGCATACTAAATGTTCAATCTATGTAAGTGGATGTTGGCGATCGCTCCATCACCATCAGTTCGCAACAAAACCCCCGGGGGTCACCTTACGGAATGCTTGCCGATCTGTTAGTGGAGATCGGGCCAATCTCGGGGCGTTTCCGCGGGGGCCTACGATGGATGGTGGTGCAAAGGAGAGGTTTGGGTTGTATGAAGCAATTGTTCGAGGAAGATTTTCCTCCCCCCCACCCCCTGTTTTAAACCAGCACCAAATTCTGAGAAAACATTAACTCCCACTTATGTGTAATTCATTGATTTCACGTGCCACTTGTGAAAAGTTGAATTAAAGTAGCGCTCGGGAATTGATTTTTTTTTCATTAAACTTAAAGCGACTTTTAGGGTTACATTTCCACACGCACAAAAACAACAACATTTTCGCGCAATATATTGGCTTAATTGTAGTTTCGCAGCCGAGGGCATCACTGAGACACGCGTGTCTTTATGTTACCAAGCCGAAGACTGTAATATCTCTTGCGCATTGCTGCTTACAAAGCACTCCCTCTAACGCAACACTACGTTGGCATTTGTGAATGATGTATAAATAAGAAAACTCAACACATTGTCAATATCATCACCCGAAAGCAAACACTTATATAATAGGCAGCGTTTTGGGCAAAGATCCACGTTATTGACGGTCGTGTTGGGTTTTTGTGTTGTTGTATTTTAACATTCACTAATGAATGTGGCTTATTTGATTGTGATTGTTGGGTACAAAACAATTAAAACAATAGTTCGTAATCGTTATTTAATATGATTTACGCGTATAAAATTGAATGGGATAAACATCTCCGGTCCAAGTTACATGAAGGTGAATTAATTTGTAACCCCTTCTAATCCGTCGCTTATCGCTAGCCGTCATCTCTGTATTCTTCAGATTTTTTTGGGTGGGGGGGGGGGGGTTTAGACCCTTGCTTACTCCACGTGATGAACGCAAATGCAATTTTGAATTGCAAAGTTTGGTAGGGGAGTATTTTCTTTTTTTTTTGCTCGTAAGTCAAAAGAGTTCATTATGAACTCAAAGGCCCTTGATACAATAATTCCGACAAGCAGGTACATCCACGCGATGGACAGCCTGAAAACAAGAGACAAAGCCTCCATACAAATTAGCCTAATGGCCATCGGTGACAAGACTCGATATGATCAATGGTAAGCACATTTGAATACATTTTACCCCCGACACAAAATCTAATATTGCTTACCTCCTGCAGTGGCGGAGGTTACGCTGAAGGTTAAATGCAAGTATTATTGGCAGCAGGACGCCAGCTAAAAATAAGCAGCGTTTTTAAGGGACGTTTTTCAATTGACGGTGCAATCAAAAGTTATTTTTAGTAAATGAACAGGCCATTCCCCAGGCCTCAGTGCTAATAGTATAAAAATGTGATGCACTTACGAAAATGTATTTCCTATTTTTAAAAAACCTTAAATAGAATTTCGTGCCATAATTTCTCATTATGCAATTAATGTGCCACGTGAGTAACAAACAACATTGTTAATGTGTTAAAGCATTTCTCATTAATTTCTTCACCATATAAAAAAGACGCGCGGAATATATTTAAATCACGGACATAATAAATGTAACGTATTTGAATTCTGTTGAGCATAGTTTCAAAACGGTGTTAGACCAGAGGACGCCAAAACGCTTCAAAAGAAAGCTATCTCTGGTGTGGACCAATCAGTTTCAAAGACAACGCATATATTATCAGAGTAAGTTTTTTGTTTGCATTCTAACCACAAGTATTGTGGTTAATGCAGACATGATTCCTTGTAAAAGGTTTCAGTTTGGTGCTTTAACATCTAAACACCAGAAAAAAGAGGGGGCAAACCTATTCTCATATTTTGGTACTGGCAAAGGAGGTCCCATGATGTATCGCAATCTTTTCCCATTACAAACGCAATCAAGAACACTAAAAAATATATTGCCACGAGGAAAAAAGTTAACACCAGCAAAGCAATTTATCGCTTAAAAGCTTTGGTTCTTGCACTATACCCAAGTATCCACAAATCAACACAAAACCTGGCAGTCCCACTTTACTTTCCCATTTTTTTGCAGCAAAACAGTTGCACATATCTAGAGGGAGGCCCAATTGCTTTGTAAATTTCTGCAAAGGCCAAAGCTATCGGAGATCGAGTCGTGCTGGCACACTCAAGCTTCAGACTAAATCGAAGAGGGCACGTCATTCCGCAACTGGCGCAAGACCCCAGGGGGCCCGGGAACAAAATGCCACGAGCGCAAACAGAAGGCTTTGGCTGGCAGCGGAGCCGCAGGTGGTGCTGCACCTTGGGGAAGTCGTCCATCTCGCTGAGGCGCTTCTCGATCTGCTGTCGTCCTCCGTAACGCGTCACGCCGTACACCACAGTCATCACCGTCTGCTTGACCAACTTGCGGCCGATGAAGCCTTCGAGCACCTGGGCGATCTTCACGTCGTTCTTGGCGTCCTCAGCACGGAACACATCAACCTGAGAACGGCAGCGGCCATCGGAGAGATTTGTCGCGGAGTTGTGAGGCGAGGAGGGGGGCGGCACCGAACCGTAACATCGTCAAGGGACACTTGCCAAAACCTACACTTTGTCCGTGAAACACGCTTGCCCGCACCGTGTCAGCCTCAAGCCTTGAATAAGCAAAATATTCATTCAATATTGCTCGACTGGAATACTTAAGATGGACATGAAGATAATACGATGGGAATTAGGTCTGCTGATACATGCACAGAGCTCCCTACGGTGACGTTTTCAGTTTAAATTGCAGCCGGTTGGCATGGCCCATCTTCCCTCTGGGTCGGTAATGGAAGGGTAAACGGTGCGGGTGAACCACATGGTGGGAAATAAAAGGTGGTTGCCCTATGACGGACAAATGCAAAAAATTGTTGGATGTCCACAACTCGTGCCAGATCGCCAACCAAGGCGATCACCAACCAGCACTTGCTGTTTGGGGACACTGAAATTTAACAGAAGAAACTATCTGCACAAGTAAACAAAAACATACACAAACATAACATCGCGTAAGGCTTTGGAGAAATTAAAACCGACAAGATTTTTTAACCAAAAACATGATTTACAGCAAGTGCCGAGTGCTAGGATACCACAATTATCTAGACAGTTAAGAAATGAACCGGTGAGAGCAATCTTTTACAAAACAAGGAGGGGCCGAAACGAGAGCATTAGGCTCTATAACGTGCAGCACAGAATTCGCTTTCTTTCTGCGTTTTAATTCGCTTGGGTTCCCCCCCCCTCCCCATCAAAAATAGACCGGCGCGGCACAGGAAGCGGCAAAGCGGAGGCCACGGGACCGGTCGCAGCGCCGGCGGCAGCAGCACCTGCTGCGCGACACTCGCGTACACGTCCTGGGGCATGTCCAGCGGCTTCAAGTTGACGGATGCGGCGCCAATCGTATCGCGTCCCAGGGCGGCGTAGTGCTGCAGCCCATTGCAGGACCCGTCCTGCGCGCCAACAAAAGCAGCAGCAGCAGCAGCAGCGGGTCAGCAACAGGATCAGCATCAGCGAGAGCGGAAGCGGCAGCAGCAACAATTCGCCACTAAGTACGGTGCCATCACCGTGGTGCCTGTGCCACAGTCGGCGAACTCTTGATTCCACGTTGAGTGGAAAAGGTTGGCTGACGGGATCACGTGCCAGACGCGAGTGTTAAAGGTTAACAGACGAGGGTGACTGGCAGATGCACCAACTGCATTCCTCGCAAAATGTCAGCTTGTGTTTTAGCCACCTGACACACTACCCCAGTGCACCGAGCTTTGTCCCTCGAGGCCAGCTGTCTCTATCGGCCCAGCAGAAGCATTCACAAGCCTCCTTTGCACAGACCAATTCGGCAAGCCCTTCGGTGTGTTTTTGGTCATAGCGCGCGCGCTGACGGGCACGACGTTTGACGTTTCGCTCCGCGTGCTGGAAGCTTCTTCGGGAAATGAACAGAGCAACGCCTCGGACATCGTGCAGAACAACACCCGGTACAAGCGTAAAGCACAACGGCAAAAATCTATGCAGCGATTTCTTCTTTGATTTGTACCGGTCCTGAGGTTGTACCAGTCCTCCTGTACAACTTCAGTAAATCCTCTCACTAGCCTTTGCTGCGTCCAATCATAATCCATATATGCGTCCAAATAAAAGCTGCTTGGTTACGCAGGGCTGTTAATCACACCTGCCGGACAGACTCACTGAAGGACTTTGCCCAGATCACTCTAGCACAGGGTCGGCAACCAAAATAACAAGAAGAGACATTTTTGTTAGATTTCGGTAAAAAAAACTCAATAATTCAAGAGTCGCAATGCACGTTAATAGGAGAGGGTCCTTAATAAATAACGTCCTTAAAGAGCCGCATTTGCTCCGGAGCCACGGTTGCCGAGCCCTGGGCTAGCATCTGTGAGATTCGGTGGGTATGTATTCATAAAGAAAAGAAGTATAAATAAAACACCTACATTGCAATTGATTTGTTAATGATAACCTACAAATGCGCAATGTAAAACCACCTTAAGCAATAAGAGAAACATTCTGCAAACTTCACTTTATCAAAATCTGATCAGGTGCTTCAGTGGCAGAGCAAGAAGCTCAGAGACTGAAGGTTGTGAATTCAAATCCTGGTTGGGAGGGGGTCGACTCGCCCCATCATCCCTCCGGGGTCTGTGAAATGAGTTCCACTTTATTGGCGAATTCAACAGCGGTTCCCCTACGCACAGACTCACCCTCGCCATCGGGATACGGAATTTCAAGCACCACCTCAACGCTCATTTGAGCAGAAAGTCAAACCATTTTGACTTGTTTTGTTTCAGTCTAACTGGCCTGGTTTAAAAGTCACGACATCAGTAATGGCGACCAGCTGTGATCACTTCCACACAGTGCACACAGGGACGCAAAGGTATCACAATGTTTCGGTTTACACAATGCAAAGCATTAAGTAGCATATTGCAAGCAAAAAGAAAGGAAAATTATATATTTATGCCACAGTGAGACAAATACCGTATCGTTAAACAAAAAAAAAGTACTGCGGTCATTATAATGCAATTTTAATGCGTCTCGATTCATCGCACGTAACGTTGTTCGGTAAAGACTCGGCGTGCAAGTTCACCCCACTGAATATGCACAATCACCATCAATTACCGCCGCCGCAACCGCTGCCGCGTGCACTCCAAGCTCAAGATCAGTCTCCTCATGAAGAACTGGGCCTTGGCTGCTTATACGTAGCGCCGAGAAGCGCTACTTGCTGCCCTTATCCCAACACTCTGCAACGCACAACCGTTAAAAGAAAAAGTCCAGTCGCGCCTCTGCTCATCTTCCAACATAGGTTGATATGCGAGCAATCATCATCATCATCAGCCATGCTCCCCCCGCACCCAAGCACCTACCCAAGTCGTCGTCATCTCTCACGGTCAAGTGATGGAATGATCCATCTAGCTCATGCACAAGCCGAGATCTCATCGCTTCATCTCCCCTGTTGACGTCCACTGGGGCCGGTTCCCTGCTTTGAACGGTTATCACCCATAGGCTTGTAACGATGCATTGGTTTATTGATTTAAATCTCTTCTAATGCTCACGTGATCACTGTAGCCACTAGAGGTGCTACATTCACCAAAGTGCTAAGAGGAAGAATAGAATAATTAATTGTCTTAAAACTCGAAATTGCGAGAATTCCCCACATCATGAGGTGGCCGGGGGGGGGGGGGGGTGAGTCTTTAAATGCCTTCTTGCTATTAAGTGCAAATTGTACTGCACGCCTCGCTGCAAGTGGAGCTGCCTGTGATGAGACGTTTGACAAAACTGATGATCATTGCCGCTGCTGATTTGACGATTCTTGCCGCTACCGCTGCCGATTACGATAATGCTGAAGACCACGGTGACGATGACGAGAACGATAATAAACACAATGACGGTTGGGATATTGTCGATAATGACAAAGATTCTGACGACGATGATGACAGTGATCATAATAAAGACGGTCACAACGATGACAATGGTGACAATGACGACGAAGACGACAACGACGATTAGAACGATGCCCATGACGTGAATAGCGATCATGATGACCACTGTGACAATGACGAAGGAGATGATGACGATGAAAACGACGACGATAACGACGATGGCGACATCTTACCTGGTGGGTAGGAAAGTGTGATATGTACTCCTTGGGATCGGGGGAGCGGACAGCTTTGGCAATCTCCATGCAGCAGGCCAGCACCTGCCACGGCTCGTCTGCCTCCATCCACCACTGGCGGCCCTGGGAAGGCATTCATTCATTCATCACGCGTAGTCGGCGAAGGAGCCGTTGCGCTAAACGTGTAATTCCCTGTGACAGCATTTGCATAAACTGCTCTTGCTGCCGTACACCAGCGTCTCGAGTGCTTTGTTTGATCCACGGGGGGTGCGACCACGGGGTACGGCGCCATTCCTTTAAGGGTCGCAATTCTCACTTCCAACGTCGACCACCAACCCAAGAGTGCAATTTTTTACTGAAGATGGGCGACGTGTCCAAAAAAGTGACATGGCCTGTTTCCCTCGAACTAAGCTCTCGACCGCTAGGAGATCGGTTCGCAGATGCAACGGTGACATTTCTGACGAAGTCGAGCCATCGGATGCCAAGACGGCGTCTTTGGCGTCGTATGTGGAAGGACTGCAGCCAATCCAAATCAGCTTCAGGCAATGTCCAGGCATCCGCACCGGACAACAACAAAACTGACAAAGCACAGTGCCGGTAAGACTCTCAATTTTGTGCCATCACTGTCGGAAGCACGCGACGGGACGTGGAGCAACGCCGAGTCACCCGCGGCACGTCCGGAGGGAGCCCTGCACCATCGTCGTGAAGGGACCGAGCGCTCAACCATGAATGAGATTCACTCTCTACGGGCCAGAGGAGTTGTTGGATATCACTTGTTTTTCGTGCGCATTAATCTTACTGCTACCCCATCCCGCTCTGCCCCAGTCCCCCCAACATCTAATTACGTCATTATTTGCGAAAGCAACATATGATTGCGTCGCAATTTAATATTTCACTGGCTTAGGTGTACGTTATCATTTTTCATAATGGCTCTATCTAATTGTTAAGTGATCGCTAATTAATTGAACAAATGTACATAATAACCGTGGCCTTTTTAATTGTTTTAATTGATCTACCCCCCACCCACCAACCTCCTCCGCGCACAACAACGGTTAAACATGTTCGTAAGTGTTAAGGCCATAGTCCACAAACAATGCTGGCCCCCTCTGTAAATACAGCTTGTTATTTATTTGTTCACTGCTGATTTATTTAGCATGTGGTTCACAGGTGAAGCCAACAAAAAAATGTTTGTCAACTGTGATACACAAAGATCTCCCCGTGTAGCCTTTAACAGATTCTTGGGGCGAGTGCTTTTTGCGAAAACCTATGAAGGCCAGCAAGGCGCACGAGGGGGTGGTAAAACCAACACCACGCCAGGCCGCCTTTGTCTGCGAATGCTGACGTTTGCGCACCACACCAGGTACTCAGCTGAGGTTGAGTCACACAGACAAACACAAACCACGCAATGGTCACACTTGCCATTAGAGACTATACGTCAATGCTTGGGATAGTAAACATTCAATGCATATGCCACATGTGTGGTTCAAAAGGCCAAAAAAAGGTTGGCCCGATGTGAGAACACAGACAAGGCTTGTCAAGTACATCGCTATGACACAGCATACCATACACGGATAAGCTAAATGTCCGGAACACAGAGATGTGAAATGTTGTTGTTAGGAAATAAAATGTCAAACGCTTCACGTTCTGCTGAATTAGATGGAATTTTTTTTGCCAACTTAACGTTTTGAAGACTGCGCAAAATATATTTCATTCCTGTTAGAGAGTCCAATTTTTGACAAGAGACTATTTGTGCTTTCCCAGAGGCAGGTCCTTGGATTATGCCAGTTGACTTTAGTTTAAATTCAATTTTCAAGCAGATTTTTGTTTTATACGCTGAATATATATCCTTCAATTTTGCTTGGACAGCTCACCCATGCTGCAGGGTGTTCCGTGCATGCAAACCAATCTCCGTTTTTTTTTATCTCTGCTGCTTGTGTTTAAAAAAGGTATCAATATAATTGTTACCTATTCAAAATATGTTTAGATTGGCTTGATTTGCCTTTATTTTAACTGTTGCTATCACAGAGAATACCTAAGAGACTGGGTTTATTTTCATCAACATTACTGTCACACGAGAAAAAAACTCACGAACAGCACCTTGTACAAGTGTTAAGAGCCCTTTAAATTTGAGCTCAATATGGCCTACGAAGTGGGAGTCGGTTTACATCCAGGTTCTAAAGCCAAACAGTGACCTGTGAGTGTTAAAAAAAAAAAATTGGGTTATGCCAGGAAAGTGAAACATTAATTATATGGCACTTTTTTTTACTGCAGAATATCACAACCTCACAATTATAAAACAAAAGTGAAAACGGAGCGGTTCCAACTTTTGGGGCTCTGCGCTTCATATCCTCATTTGCCACTTTTCTCAACACGAACAAATCACGACCCTGCACTGCAGCGAAAACCAGTTGGTAAAAAAAAAACCCTGACCTCAACCCACTGCAAGAAAAGTTCCCACAAATTAGTGGGACAAAAAAAACCACATGGATCCAACCTCCAAAACCGAAAATCTAGTTTTTATTTATTTTATCAATAATAAAAAAAACACACAAAGATTCATCGACTCAGACATTCCGAACAAGGAATGCTAAACAGTTATTGAAGCGCTTTGACTGGTAGGTACTGGCACCGAGTGCTTTAATTAGAGTCAGATGCGATTGCTACACACGTCTCTCCTTCCAGTACCCTGCCAGCCGTTAATCTCACGTTTGCTCCTGTCCCCCCAGTCTTCTGCCAGAAGCTTGACAATTACCGGCACTCTCTGCCCATCCGCAGGCAGGGGCACGGCATAGTCTGCCGCTGCCCCTCGCGCACCCCACCACCACCGCTGCCAACTCCCTTCACCGCACTGTCAACACCAAAGCGCACCGCAAGACCATCGCTCCTCGTCCACCATTGACTGCAAGAACCTTTGTTAATATTCTGTGCTGCACGCTGGCGTGCTCTCCCTCTGAAATTTTTGCATGTTATTTTCTAAATACTGATGCCTATGTATGCACTGTTACCAAGATTAAACAATCACCGTCGACATCATCAGCCACGACCAATCAACTTTTGGTTGAAGGCCTCCCCGAGCCGTCGACATCTATCACGAGCGTGCGACGTGATTATCCACTTGGCACCTGCACAGGAGTTGATTTCACCGCCCCAAATCTCACCGATTACCTCCCTGTCATTATTCAAGACAGAACTCTCTGGAGACAGAATTGAAAGCAATAAACTGGGACAATGGTGGTATCAGCGAGGTCAGGAGGGGAGGAACTCCACACTTCTGGTAGATAATTGAACAAGAATGAAACAGGAATGGCACGGATGCTGCAAAAACGCTGGAAATTTTTTTCCTATTTTCAACACAACGTGCAGATGACAAAAGGCAGTAAAGTATAGCCAAAGGGAGCAAGCGTCTAGCTTTAAAAGGGCAGAATGCTGTGCCCTTCTATTAATCTTTTCTTTGTCCCAGCGCAACGGTGGAAGGCACCCAAAAGTTGGGATTTGAGAGCACTTTGCAGTTAAATGAGGAAGCATCCATTTGGTTATTTGTAGCTCGGGTCACGTAATGGAATAACTCATAAACGAATTGTAATTCACCATCAATATCTATTAGCGGAACTATTTTTAGAAACTAAGAGCCAGGCTGCATGTGGAGAATTATCAGGTGTCAGTTTGACCATGGCTCAGCGGAAACTGCGACGGAAAACAACAACGCGCGGTAAACAACACACGGTGAAAACCGAATGAGCTGAAAGACACAAGTCCTAAACATCAGCTTCAACCTTGTAGGCCAGCGGCCAGCTGCATAAACACCTTAGGTGGAAATCTCCCTTCAATGATGCTGGCCCGCAGGCAATTTTCTACTCGAGTTGTTTCATGCAACTCATGCCAGGAGTATGGAGCCTTTTTTCCTTTACCGAGGGCCAAATATGACTTTCAAATACCATTTGATGGGCGAGCACACATGAGTACATAGATCAGCATCACCCAAATATAATAATGTGAAAAAGAACTTGGTCTCATCTTAACACGCTAACACGATGCCTGCATGTGCTTTCCTCTGACGCGTTGATAATAATATTAGGTCGCAGTTCCGAAGTAAACATGCAGCTAAGATTCTTGCAGCGATGGATAAATATAATGTGCCAGTCTCATGTGGCAACGGGCCGTATAAAATTGACTCATTGGCTTTATCTCATACCATAGGCATCGCGCACCCCTGTTGGAGAGAAAAGCCGGGGCTGCGTGTTCCATTTTGTCTAACCTAAATTTTAAGCTTTGCTTTATGGTACTCTCTACAATACCACCAATGACACGCTGTACATTTTATTACATTGACGCAGTGACATCACTCAGAGTCCGTCTTCTCATTAGGGAAGCTTCAAACTCGGGCGGGACAGCCACAGTGCTGTCTACTCGGGGAGAGCTGCTTGCTCTTTGGTTGCATCATCCTTTAATGAGGAAGTCACAGTAGATCTGAAGCTGTCTCATTAATGCAGCCTCAAGCCATCATCACCATTATCGGTCTTTGTCAATCCGATGTTGATGAAGGTCTACTCACGTACGAAAGCCTTCATACAGCACACAAAAGCCCATTTTCACCTTAGTTTCGTGCAATGCTATTTGACCAAAACATTTCATGAAAAGAGCTTTCTTGTGGTGGATAATAGTTTTACAACAACTGAGAGGTGAATTTGTTTCCATCATTAGGCATGAACGATTAGGTCAAAAGGTCTCCATTTCTTTCATGTAAAAATGTTTCTACTTATACGAACACCAGAACTATTGTACTTCTACAGTTGCCCCCCTTTTGTCAATTTACTTTACGTCCTCCCCCCAAGCTGTGCGGGTTGTGGAAATTATTTGACCATACTTCACCACGCTGGTAAGTGCGGGTTTTGCCGACGGTAGCGGATCGAATAAACGTTAAGTAAATAGACTAAACATTTACGTGAAAGAGAAAGAAAGCACAAAACCTGGCACCACACAAATAAAATTAGCATTTTCCGAAAACCGCCATTCATGAGGCACGTTTATGCTCGTGGGCGAGCGCGACCGTAAAATAAGACGGAGACTGTACGAGGATCGCTGTAAATGCAACACAGGACGTGGGGCACCATGGCTCACAACGA